AGAGAGATAGAAACATCAATGATGGGAGACACACTGCCTCCTACACATCCCCTACTGGGGCTCAAGCCTACAACCCAGGTTTGGGTTGTGCCCTGACAGAGAATCGAACCTTGATCTCCTGGATCATAGGCTGATGCTCAACCACTGAGCCATACCAGCCAGGCTTTCCTACATTCTTGATCTCTCTGCCATATCCCTTTACACACACACACACACACACACACACACCCTTTCTCTCTCACCTCCCCAACTTCACANACATATCCCTTTCCACACACACACACACACACACACACACACACACACACACACNCCATATCCCTTTACACACACACACACACACACACACACACCCTTTCTCTCTCACCTCCCCAACTTCACATTCTGTGCTCCACAGCACGAATGAATGTGTAAGGTGCTTCACGGGGCCTTCACCCATGCTGTTCCCTCTGCCTCCATCCCCCAGACGCTGTGGCTATATTTGCCCCATGTGTTCCCCCAGACGGTGAGTCCTTGGGAGCTGGAACTCTGCTGTGTCATTCACACTGGAATCCCCAACACCTGGGGCAGAGCCTCGTAGAGCATAGACAGGAGACAAATACTTTCTAAATAGATGAATGAATGGTTTCAATTGCCACAAAAGGAACAAAAGGAATTTCTGGGAACATTTCCATGTCCCAGAACATTCAATTAACCAGAATTTCCCACTCCCTGAGCATCCTGGTAAGGACAGGATTCGCTGTGTAAGCATAAGCATTAATGATACAGCTGAATGGGACTGGGATTCTGCTCTGTGTTGTCTCCACCGCTGACCTGGGAAAGAGGGAGGGAGTGCAAGGGTGGTAGTTTCCACTGGCCAGAGAAGCTAAGTGACTTGCCCAAGGATGCCTAGCAAGCTGGTGGCAAAGTCAAGATGGAAACGCAGGGCTCTTGCCTCTGCCTCCCAGCCTGGCCCCTTTCCACAAGCCAAGGCCCATAGTGGGTCAAAAAGGAAGTGAGTGGAGGGGCCAGTAGACTTTCCAAGCCTAGATACCACCCTCACACAGGCAGTACAATTGGAGGGCACGCAGGAAATTGTCAGTCCTCAAAATTCACTAAATCATCAAACCAA